GATACAAGTTTGGTTGTCACCTACCTGTGAAACGTGCTGTGCAGTCCCACGAAGGAGGAAGAAAGCGGCCATAGCCGCAGGGCATCATCACGGAGTAACGAAGGAGGAAGAGGACAGAGAAGGAGGGACCGAGGAGAGATAAAGAGGAAGGAGTGTGGAAGGAGGAGACGTCGAGGTGGAAGACAGACATAGCCGAGGGTTGAAAAAAAAAAAGAAGAAGAAGAAACAGCGAGAAGGAATGAGGGTGACGAAGGGGAAAAAGAGAGTGAAGGTTGGTGAGAGAGAAGGAGCCGGCAGCCATAGCTGACCGGAGGGTTGACCAAGTGTTGACCAGAGGGTTGACCGGTCACTGACTGGAGGGTTGACCGGGGTGCTGACCGAGGGTTGCCCGTGTTGACTCAGCGTTGACCAAGGCGTTGACCGGAGCTGTTGACCAAGACTTGGACCAAGCTGGAGTTGGTAACATCTCGCAAAGCCCTTAGCCTATCCCCTCGCCCAATGGATGTGCACTCACCCTGCGGTACTTGCTGAGTCTGAGTCTGTCTGTCTCTTCTTTCTGCAGTGAGTCTCTTCTTTCCTAAGTGGTAGTACTCTATGGATGAAGGATAGGGCCTGGATGACGAAACCCCTACCTGACCTTGTAGAGCTGATACCGTGTCTAATCTCACTGTCTCGGAGGCCTAACCCTCCCAAGGACCGGTGCTGACCGGCGGGGCTCGGATTGGGCGTGACACGGTGGGCTTGAACGACGGAGTTGTGGGCTGACACACCAGGCAGTCTTAAGTGTTGAGGGCCTTGTTGACCCAAACCCCTACCGGATATAGTAAGGCTAAAGGCCGTGTCTGACGACTCGACTGTCCCGGAGGACACGAGCCCTCCCAAGGACCGGTACAGATCGGCGGGCTGCTCGGTGTGGCACGGCAGGCCCGAAAGGCTGAGTTGTGGGCTGTGCAACAGGCAGAACAAAGCTGATCACGTTGTCCTGACTGCGACGTTAAAGAATTCCTGAGGAGTTACGGGGGATCTCCTTAAATGCCTCCTGATCAGCCACTGGTTCAGTAGTGACAGCCATAGCGTAGGTCTAGGCTAGCGACCATAGCTGACAGGGTTCTATACGAACCCTGTGGTCCTTAGAGAGTTTGTCAGCGAGTTCTGCGGGTTGGTCTACGTGGTGAGGAGTGGGACTGGTCTGTCGTGCACCTATCACCATGGATGATTACCCGATGTACGGGTTGCTCGTGGGGTTCTCCCTTTGGGGGACCCTTTGGCGTTTCATTTTCCCATTGGGATTCTGGGACACGTTTTCGTGTAGGGTAGAGACTCGTAAGGGGACGGGTACCAACCCCTACACACCCGAAGAAGAGGCCAAGGCCGCCGCGATCCTGAAAGAAAGGAGAGAAAAGAAGGAGGCCAAGAAGAAGGCCTTACTGGAGGCGCAAGCGGCGAAGTTGAAGAAGATTGAGGAGGAGATGGCTAGAGAGAAGGAGAGGCTGAAGAAAGAAGAAGCGAAATTAAAGGAAGTGGAAGAGGAAGAAGAAGAAGAAGTAGAAGAGGAGCCACTGGAGAGAGGAAGAAGAGGAAACAGAGGGGAGTCCAATGAGACAAAGGAAGACTTGATGGAGAAGAAGATTTCAGAGTGGGTTGCAGGACTGACCCTGGGAGAGGATGAGGAGGCATTAATGTATGTGCCCAGGGACAAACAAGAGGCGGTCGTGCGAGAGTGGGAAGCTGAAGGAGACCCACTCAGGCGACAAGTGTTAGAAGATGAGAAGAGGATGGAGTGGAACTTCCGCCTCACTGGGGAGAGGAAGAGAAGAATGGAAGCGGCAACAGAGGCGGCGAAAGAGTTGGAAGAAGTTAGGAAGCAGAGGGATCAGATGGCGGTTCAAGTAGACTTATTGGGGAAGGTAGA